CCCCTCCCAACCCCCCCCCCCCCCCCCCAAAGTTTCCTCAAACCCATGAGCTTGGGGGGTTTCAATCACGGGCCCTTAGCGGGCTGGGTTTCAAACCCGGGATTAAATATATATGTACCAAACATGGGTTCCAATGGGTTTACTCCCCAACCCATTATCTTAGACCCTCCCAAACCCTTTTAACAAACAGGCATAAAGATAGTTTAAGTGGTAATATGGATTAATCGTAAAAATAGAGTAATGCTATAGGAACATTATTTGGGGACCTAATGATGTGATTTTAATATAACTATTGAATTAATTGTTAGTTCCAATGTTAGATAGAGCTCGCAACTAATCCAATAGTTATACATCATTATGTCCCTAAATAAGATCCTTAAATAAAGTTCAAATAATATTTTCCTAAAAAATAATAGAGTAATACTATTTGGACATAAAAATATGACATAATTTACTGATATAATGATGTGGCTTTATAAGAATCATTAGATCAACACCAAATTCCAATGTTTGATGTGATCTACAGTCAATCCAAAGGTCACAATGAATTAGGTCAACAAATTATGTCAATAAATTAGGTCCCAATAGCATTGCTAAAAATAATAATATAAATGATCTATGATGTATTAAGATTTGTGTTGGGTTGATAGACTCATGTGAATTTTCATGTTTATTTTAAATTAGGGTTAATCTCATTTTGTACTCTAAAAGATTGTTCAAATCTTAATTTGTACCCCCAAAGATCAAAAATCTCAATTTACACCCTCAAAGATAGAAATTTGTATCAATGTGCATCTCCAAAGAAAAAAAATCTCAATTTGCACCCTCAAAGATATAAATTTGTATCAATGTGCACCTAAAATTAAATTGATAAATTATACCTAGATCCCCTCATGTTTGTCACTTAATCATTTGAACTCCTTCATATTTAGAATATTCCCCTTACATCTCATGACGTTTGTGCATGTGTAACACATAACCACTTTTCGTTGATATCTGTTAATATAATCATTAAAAAATATGATTTTATCCTAATAAAAAATTATAATTTCATATTACCTTTTATTTTGTGGATTCGATATACTCTAAAGTTAAAAATCAAGCTTACCATTTGAATGTCTAATAAAATGTAGATATTTATATAAAAGGTAATATGAAAAACATTATATAAATATTTACATTTTATTAGACATTCAAATGGTAAACTAGATTTTGAACTTTAGAATATATTAAACCCATAAAATAAAGGGTAATATGAAATTATAATTTTTTATTAGGATAAAATTATATTTTTTAACGGTTATATTAATAGATATCAATGAAAATGGGTTACGTGTTATACGTGCACAAATGTCATAAGATGTAGGAGTAATATTATAAATGTGAAGAGGTCTAAATGATTAAGTGACAAGTATGAGGGGATCTAGGTATAATTTATCAATTTAGTTTTTAGGTGCACATTGATACAAAATTTATATCTTTTAGGGTGCAAATTGAGATTTTTTATCTTTGGGGTGCACATTGCTATAAATTTATATCTTTGAGGGTGTAAATTGAGATTTTTGATCTTTGGGGGTGCACATTGATACAAATTTCTATCTTTGAGGGTGTAAATTAAGATTTTTTATCTTTGAGGGTACAAATTGAGATTCGAACAATCTTTCGAAGTGCAAAATAAGATTAACCCTTTAAATTAACACTCTTTGGCTTAACATTCTAAGTATACAATGAGAAGAGACATTTTGCTTTAAAACAAGAGCGCAAACATGTTGGATTGATGAACGAAAAAATAAGATTGCATTTATTTGCTATTGGACGATTTTATGTTAGATTTGTCAAGTTTGATATATTATTTTTTTTATATAACAGCCGATCCAAACAGTATTTCATATATTTATTAATTTTTGAGTTACTTTTCAAACATATGTTATTATTTTTTGTTTTTAAAATTATATAATTAAACAAATTTTACGATATAAAGACATTAAAACACATCTTTCTAAAATTTTTTCCAAAAAAAATTTCTTTTAAGGATGGGCCATGGATCCACTAGCCACTTACTACCACCGACCAAGTTTGATTTGGGGAGTCGTGAATCATGATGAAAAATTTGAAAGAATAATGTTATAGAGATCAAATTTAGAAAAT